ATTCTAAGGCAACGCAAATATTAAGGTTAAGAGGCTGAGCTCGTAGATGATGATAAATAACATAGTTATGTATAATATATTACATTTCTGACTGTGTATCCCTGTAATTATTACACACTGTAGCTTTAAAAAACACTGTAGTTTATAGTTTATGAGCAATATGGGTTACTGATGTTTAACTTTTTTTTGTTGAAAAGATGGTCAGATGGTGGTGTGGAAACTTTATTTAAAATAAAAGGCAACCCACCCAAAAAAGTTTGTGAAGCACTGACCTAAAGTAAAAGTAAAGCAAAAGAAGGAAACATGTGACAGACAATTATTCTACAAAGGCAAACATGACTGAACATTCTTCAAATTTATTATTACATATGGGCTATGTCCTGGCAAGGTAACCACTGTCTGTCAAACCCTTCTAACAATGAGATATTGGAGCCTGGGAATTGACACGGGGTAAAAATATGTATAACTTGCACACAAAATACTACGTTGTAGGCACAAAATACTAATTCTAATTTTTAAACTGCCCTTTAGGGTCTAAAGTCATGCATTTTCCGCTCTATGTCTATTCTTGGTACAGCGCAGCACTGACTCAATTTTATTCCACAAATGCTGAGTGGCCTTATTATGGTTTTGCTCGCTACTGGTGCTGGAGAATAATTTCCCAAATCACCTTTTTTTTTCCATCTACAGAAACAAGTGAGGTCCACAATTTTAAAGGGTGAGCCTGTAAGCTTCACCCATAGTCTATCGCTAGTGGGTTGAAGGCAAAGCAGAATGGAATCTATATACACCCATCCAGACTATAAATCATCAGCCAACTGTTTGCCTTCAGCATGTGCAAATATGTGCCTTGAGGCTCCCTGTGCAGCAAAGTAACACAGAGGAAAAATTATATCTGGTCAGGTCAGAGCCAGACATTACTACTGCTGTCAATGATGAAGGCCCTGCATGCGTAAAGCGCCGCTGCAGATGGAAAATTCTGCAGCTTGAGGTTTGATGAAACTCCGCTCCAGTTAATGATCCAGAAGTCACTCTGTGGAATTTGAGGCTCCAAGTCATGTTGGGTCATTGTATTTTTTTCCCAAGCCATTTAAAAGCTGATCTCTCTAAAAGAGAATGTCCTTTTTCTACTCCTCCTCTGCCTACATCTTCTCCACATATACATCCCATCTGTTACAAATTGTGACTGCCTATGAGATGTGCATAATACTTTGTGATAATACTAAATGGGACAGATGAGGCACAAACAGTTTTTATTTCATTTTTTTAAATATTTTTTAGGAATTTTTGTAAATTCAAAATGTAGTCTTCTTCAATAGCTTCCAGGTCATGTGACCTACTGACTCTAAATCTGTCTGATGGGGCAGATCACACCCCAAATGCTGTTGGAAAAAGTATTCTAATTTTTATATGTTTGGCAGTAAAAAAAGTATTTGAAGAAAAACACTAGAGTTTGAATAAAATAAAATATTAAAAATTATAAAATGATTTATTAAAATGAAACAAAAATGACTGTGCCTCATCTGTTCCATCTAGTAGAACAATTTCAGGCAGATTTTGAGTCAATGGGTCATATTAGCTGGAAGCTATTGAAGAAAAATACAAAATTTTGAAGAAAAACACAAAATATTGACGAAAAACTTGAAGGTTCTACGGTCATAACCATAGATGAGGGTAGGAACATAGATCGACCGGTAAATGGAGAGCTTTGCTTTTTGGCTCCGCCGTCTTCACCACAACAGACGGTACAGCACACGCCTCACAGCAGACACTGCTTTCAGGTTTGCCTCTCAAACCCATATGAGCTCCACAAAAAGAAAAAGAACCATTGCATTTTATTTTTCAAAAGATCAGCCACCCAAGAAAAGACCAACCACACCCAGAGAGGAGGTACAGAACAACTCAGTTATCCAGGATTCATAGAGGAGAAACCACAGGGATGTTCTTCATTTATTATTACTGATCATATTCATTTTTATTTTTTTTTATTTTGGTCCATTGAATATTTTTAAAGACTTTCCATCACACCTTCCAAACTGAAACATCCAGAGAAGTGCCGTCTCCTGTCATGGTGAGTTTTTATAAAATCTACAGCCTCCTAGATGGTCTGAATTGTTTAGCCATTTTGTCAATTGTAAGAACAACTAATAACATAAGGAATAAAGCTTTATACTTCTTATTCTATTACCAAATATTCATACACAGTGTAGTTTGCATAGGTTTCGATTGCCGTGGTTCCTGTATCAGTGCCAGTAATCCAATAATAGCTTATCAGTTCCCCATTGTTTAATTTACTTGTACTGCAGAGAATAATTAATGAACAAAGTTGTGAAATTCTTAGTGTAAAGTATAATTAAGACGCAAGTATTTTAGTAGGGCCCATTCTGCTTTACTTCAATTGTCTAAAAATCACCAGAATGTAGAAAATAATGTATATTGTGAGAAAGATGTTCCACATAACTACAGACCACTTATTGTTACTCAGTAACATTTACTGTTTTATAAAAAATATCCATATTTTGCAACTTTGTTTCAGTTAAATCCTCTGAAAACCAACCTATAGCTGCACCTGTCCTCATCTGACCCTGAAAAGGTTTCCTTTCCAAAATATTTCAAAATCACACCCCAAGGTTTGGTGAAAAGTTGGCAGCCCTGGAACAAGTTTGAATTAGTTTTTCTAGA